ATATCCATCTTACTTTTAATAATAATAATAATAATAACAATAATAACATGTATTATTAACATTAACCATCTTTATAAAATATGATATTCTAATTTTCCAAATGATTTTACTTGTATCTCAAGTATATGCAGAAAAGATGGAAAAAGGTGGGAACATGGTAAATTTCCATTTTAGAATACTAAATTAAAATTGTGTTTTGATCATATTTTTTAAATAAATATTAAAATAGGGCTATCTTATAAAATAACTAATTTAGTTCAAATAAATTTTGAATAAAATGAACATGTTATCATAATTTTTTTATAATTAAACAGTGATTTTCAGATAAATTTGAGTTCGGCTTATCTATGGTACATTTCCATTTTAGAATATGGTTCCTTATTGAAAAGAGTTGGTAGGGACATTTTTTTTAATTAATTAGTCAAATGTTCTAAAGTATCATGAATTGATTTAGCATGGCTATGAATAGTTAGGGTGCTAATGATATTCTCCAATAAAACAATTTTCAATTTATCATATTTTGTTAGTTAAAAATTCCTCATATTTTATCGAATAATAAAGAAGTACTTTGAAATAAGGAACATACTTTCCTATTGAAATTAATAAAAACAAATTCCAGAAATATCATTCCACCCCACGACCCCACATTCTATAACATGTCGATATTTATTATTTTTTACTTATATGGAGTATCAAACATTAAAAAAAATGTAAAAAATTTAACTAATATATTTTACTATCAATATTTTGAACAAGGCATTAGCATTAGGCCTCCAATTTTAGGGAGTCTTTTTATCAATAATAAATTAAGTGTTAACTAAAAAAATCAATCATTTATGACAAAATTTAGAAAATTACTTTGATTTTATTCTCATTAATTCTATTTAAGTAGAAGAAATTAAAAATAATTGTTTTATTTTTTCAGGGTCTTTATGCTAATATTCATATTATTTTATTCTTTTTAAATCCTTTTACACTCTCTTCTTTAAATGTTTGATAAGTTGGAGTAATAGTCTACCAAAAAATATAAATCAATAGTCAAAAGTGTTGAGCAAAGTGAATTGTAAATTCTTTTTTTATTTCTTCTTAGATTTCAAGTATTACAACAAGCATAGTAAAAACAAGGGGTATACAAAATTATCAACTTGATTCTATGTTAACAATTCATATAATTATTGTCCGAGTAAGCAAATATTTTTCAACAACTGATAAAATCAAATAAATTATTTATAAAAAAAATATTAAGTATACTTTACATTTAAAAATGCAATTTTTTTTTAAAAAAATAATACATATAAAATTCATTTAGAATTTAAAACTCTAGCAAAAATTTCGCTTTAGGCCTCCATTAGTATTGAGCCGCCTCATTTTTATGTAAAATATTTTCCTCGATACCACACCCTTTCAAGGACAAAGGCAAGCAAATTCAACTCATTATACCACTGTCAACTTACCAAAATGTATCATTGAAAAAGTAACAATCAATTTTAGATTATTAATTAATGGTCATGTGAAATATATATATACTAATTAAATTATATTTTTTTTTCATTTTAAGAGATGTAAATATATAATTTGATTCGTAAATCAGTAGTTTTGTGCTTGTGGAAATCTTTTAAGTCTGCCACTACTAGCAGATCCAATGAAGATCTAACAATATGATTCATTTGTCTACAAAAATATCTATTGGAGAGTGACACATTATTGTATTGGAGGCAAGTAAAAGAATGATTAAAATAGTTTCTTATGTTTGACATTGGTATAAAATAGTTTATTAAACATATCCTCAAATGATTTTAATCTTTTATGATAAAAAAAATCACCAAATTTAACAAATTCTTTGTTGGTGTATATAATACTAATTATATAGAATTACTGCTTGAAAATAAAGTGATAAAAAAATATAATATATATTTAGATCGAGACTTGAATATCTTATTCTCTTTAAAGAATTGTAAGTGAATTGTAAAGGCACTAACATTCTTGGTATTAAATTTAACGAAAATTATGAATTTCTTTATTATATTATTATTTCTAACTTTTATTAAGATTTTTTGAACCTTAATGGACCTTGTTTTTTTTTTTGGGTTAAATCCTCCCCAACAAAAGATTTATATTTTTTATATAAAAGAAAAGAGAGGTCTTAGAGACAAAAGGGCAAATTTGAGTGGTCAAATGTTGGAATCTATTTGAAATAACGGGGAAAATGAACATAGTGTCATATGATTTGGTAGCAAGTGGACCAATGCTAATAAATGGCCGATTGTTAGTTGAACTAAGTACACATTTGATAATTTCGCGGCACGATTCAAATTTAATTAAATTTAAAATAAAATAAATATTTAGCTAAGAGTTTGAGTTTTTGGAGATGAAATTCTATTTGATAAATTTATTAAAAATAATATTTATACATAGAAGGTCAAGTATGTTAGCTTTGAATTTTTCATAATCAAATACTGGTTTTTAAATAAAATAGAAATTATTTTATTAAAATAAATAAATAATTTATATAGCCAAAAAAATAATTGCTTCTTTCATACTATATTTTCTGCACTGTATTTCTAAACAGGGAATGTTGTCCATCTGCTTATCTGAGCTTGTTTCTTTCATTGTCTCTTTCTCATATTTAATGCTCAATTTAATCAACTTTGCAATAAGTCAACACCGGTTGCCTCCAAATACTCTCCAGCTTCTTTTCAAAATAAGTATTGTTTTAATTTATTTCATGTTCATAAAATAAGTATCGTTTTAATTTATTTCATGTTCACTAAAAAGTAAAAATTTCTTAATATATATAAATCATATTCTTATTTAACTGGCTCTATATTTTATAATGTGACAAGAAGAAGCTGCTCAGATGATAAAAATCCTCTCACTATAGTGTTGCGCTATGGGATAAATTAGGCTGGTAAATAAGGACAAATAACTCAATTTAATTCAAACACTGCAAACAAAATTAATAATATATATATCACTAGGCTATAGATAGTGATAAATGTTACCATTTTTCTGACGCTTAATAGTTTGGTAAATTTTTGTGGGTCATAAATGCTTATGTTTTTCAACCGTGCTTATTTATACTTTTTTGAGAGAAATACATTTAGAAATTTAGAATAACTTCTAAAAAGTTTGATCAAACGCTAAAAATATTTTTAAATTTACTAGTATAAAAGAATTTTCTCACCAAGAATACTTTTTTGAATATAAACTGATTTTAGAAGTTAGGCGAAACAGGTTGTTTAATAAAGTTAAGTGAATTTTTTTAAAAGTAGAATAAATGTTATGAGTGATTATCCATAGAAGTACCATTTAATTAGTTTTATTTTCAACTTGTAAATGAACATGATCGAAATCAATGTTCTCTAAGGTATATTTGAGTGATTATGACGAATTCATACCGCCACAATTAGGAGTATCAAATAAGAGGATTGAGTTAAAGTTGAAGAGTTACAATTAGTGGTGGATTCAGGATTGTTTTAGGAGATTTAAAATTTGAAAAATAAACACACGAAGAAATAAAATATATTCACTATTTAATATATCTATTATAATGTATACATAATAAAATATAATCATAGTCATATGGAATAAGATTGGGCTTCACCTTGGTACATGGGCTAAAAACTTTGTCAAATAGAAGAGTACAATGGGCTAGATCAAGGTGCCCACATTCAACCAACTCTCTTCAAATCACTGAAAAGTTATCGTTGGCTTGTTGCTGACCAATTGTTCAACTCATCATGACTTAGTCAGGTACGTAATTGTATAAATTAACGGAAATAGTTTACTTGTCGTTAAATGTGTATCTTTTAACGATAATTAACATTCTTTGTATATGTCTCTAAAGCCTTTAGCAACATTGAATTTAGATATTTAACTAATGCCGATAAAGACTTAAACACTCTTTATTAATGTGTTTAATTAGTTATTGTCACTAAAAATTATTTTCTATCAAGAATATTAGTTTAGGGTTTAGATGATTTTTAGATTCTACTTTTCACTAAGTATGCTCATTAAAGAAAGAGAAAAAATATATATAAGGGAAAGCAAATACTAAGATAAACTACAAATTTACTTATAAAACTGAATATTAGTGCATACTGATTAACAAGGCCATATGATTATATGTCAAATAAGCAAAACGCACTGAATTTGAATAAGTCAAAATTGATTAAGCTTGATAGAAATGCTTGACCTTCCTAATAATTACTTGGATTGTGATGATTTAGGTTTAGGTAGGTTACATACTTGTATTGTTGTGTGCATGTTTCTTGTTGTTTCAAGATCATTCCAGTTTCATCACATTCAAAACACTGTGGATTTGTGGAGATTCGATTTTGTAGTCTATTACAAATTTTATTTTAGGTTTATGTCATTTTTATACTTAAGAGTTCTGTAAAGCTCATTTTTAAATTCAATTTGTAAGTAATTATCAGATATCATTAACATATAACCACTCCATCACATAAAAAATTATTTTATGAACATATATAGCCACTAGGAAATGTATTGCGTACTGCTCTTTCCTTTCGGTATTGTTTGTGATGTTGCGCTTTTCAAAAGTCAATTTGACTAATTTTCAAAGTTAAATTAAATTACATTACTTTGATATTTTAAACCAAAAAAATAGATATTCTAAAATTATATAAATAATACCGGACAGAGAGAGTAAATTAAAGTCTTGCCAAAGTCATTTTCTGAAAATAGGTTGTCTATACAAGTGGTGTACAAAAATAAACGAAACTTTAATTAAAAGGGTCCGCATGACTGGGAAGTAGATGCATCTTACTTTTTCTACATCATTTATAGTCCCAACAAACTCTCCTTTCCAAAAACGATACATTATTTAATTTGTCATATCGACAATGGTAAAGAACTTCCTAGTAGTAGTGGGTATAACACAATCAGAACAGGTTTAGTAATACTAATTTATATTTTATATATATATATTTTTAAAGAATTACTAAATAAGGATAAAAGTAAATTTCGAATTCAACAAATCAAATGTGATGTGATAGAATTTCAAACTCATCGCGTAAAGTACAAATCTTAAATCCTTCTCTAAAGAGAATGTTTCTATTTCTCTCTATATTGGTCAAAGATGTTATTGAAAAGGTCAAAAGAAGGAGTACTTGGAGATAGAATTATGGTAGGTGAAATAAAATTTGAAGGACTAGGCAAATAATTACTACTATGTTCAAAATAATTCCTATTATGATGTAATTCAGGACTTAAATCATGGAAAAATCCAGCTGATGGAGGTGAGAAGAAATTTGATGATATAGGTTGAAGAGAAGATGGATTTGGTGACAAAATACCTTGAGGAAAAACTCCACTACAGCTTCTTTCAATTTCTCTACTTATCTCAATCTCTTCATGATTAACCATTTCCATGTCACAACTAGTAATTTGTGATCTCTTAATATTCCCTCTTGTAGTTCTTGTATTCTCTATTGAAGCAAACCTAGCAGCCGGAGATATCGCGCTAATATTTTCTTGAAAAGGAAATGAGGAAATTGATGATGATGACGTGGAATTTGGTCCGGTGAGTCGTTGGACTAAAGACATGAACTCACTAGGGTTTGCATGGATTACCTTTGGGGACACGGTGTATATTATAATGGGTGGTCGTGGTGGTGGTGGTGGTTGATGATGAGGTGGCAATTGGTGGTGCTGATGTGGCCCCACCGGTGGTTTTTTAATCTTGTGTGAATCTTTACGTAATTTGAGTGGCGTTGGCCGGGGACCTTGGAGTTCTCTTTTCGGCGACTTCCCGGCGGAGTTTTCCGATGAGTCCATCGTGAAAAATGAATAAAAAGTTGAATATTTGAAATGATGAAAGAAGAAGATTTTGAAAACTAGAAGTAATGGAGGAGACTATGAAAGGGAGGAAAAATGCCTTATTTTGTCAAGGCAATTTATAAGGGAGGTGGCAATATATTTTAATACTTAGCTACTATTTAAAGAGAGCAAGTCAAGGGAGTGTGAAAGTTGATGAAAATACAAGACAAAAGAAATACATATTTTAAACTAACATAAGTGGATGAAAATACAAGACAAAAGTAATACACATTTTAAACTTACATATATTTTACTTGTTTTCGTTCGAATTGTTTAGTTGGGAACAAGTTATCACATAATTAATTATTCTGAAATAAATTATTGTATGGGATAATTTATCCATCACTATGACATAGATGGTGGATGAATAATTCAATGGCTACCTAATATCTCTAATTAAACATAAGATAAAATAATCCTGTATTTTATTCTTAATTATACGTCTTACCTCAAATCAAACGAGTATTTCGGAGTTTAAGTCAATATAAGAAGTCTTATATTATCCGATCATCTAAATAATACTAAGCCAATTTAAAATATGAGTTCTGTAAATTTTAAAATAAAACATTTTATCTTCTATAATAATTAAAATTCATATCCTCATATAAGAAAATATTATTATTAACAATGCATATTATTTAATAATTTGTATTCGTTTGTATGTAGGATTTTAACAATACATAGGATATCATCATGTGCCAATTTCGTATTGTTAGAAAGGTTTGAACTTGTCCAAATGAAAACTCAAAAAGCTGCTACTGGGAAATAGTCAACTTTTGGTGATGCCAGTAGGCATATCTAAACCTTGAATAAATAAGAAATAAATAATTACTTGAAGACTATATATTATAATTAATTCAGGAGCCAATGACTGCATTTCTGAATGCGATTAATGTCTTTTTTTAAAAAAAAAAAATTGAAGGGTAAATTACGGAGGGATAACAAAGAGGGGAGTAAAACTCCCACTAAAAAAGTGCAATTAAGATAATTAATCAATTGAATTATTAAAATTTTGGAACGAGATAAATGTTGATGCATCCATTTTCACTTTCAAACAAGTGGTATTCCCTTTAAAGGCTTTAATTTTCTACCTAATCACGTGATCCACACAGACTGATCGTAGTAATTCATACTAGTGCACGAAGGATCTGTAAAAAAAATCGATATGAAAAAATTATTTGTACTATATAAAAGAATTATATTAAACAATATTTAGTTACTAGGAGTACTTACTACTATTAATATTGATTAGGGGGTGTTTTAAAAAATTATGTACATTTCGAAATTTATGATAGTAGAATATAGAGATATGTGATTCATTTATACGGTGTCATAGGATATATCAATATCTTATTTATGAACTGAATTGTGCGTTTGGAAAGATTGAGAAAATTTTAATTGATGTTTTCATGTTAATGAAAAGAGAAAAAAAGCAACTTAAGAAAAACAAAAATTCATCATCTATTAATCTGATTTCAAATAATGATTTCATATTGCATATCTAAGAATTCTCTTCGGAAAGATTGAGAAAATTTTAATTGATGTTTTCATGTTAATGAAAAGAGAAAAAAAGCAACTTAAGAAAAACAAAAATTCATCATCTATTAATCTGATTTCAAATAATGATTTCATATGGCATATCTAAGAATTCTCTTACACTATTTTTATTTATTTTAAAAGGTATGTTGATCCTTTTGGCAAAAATAACTTAAGATTATTTAAAGGGAACTTTAAATTTCTAAATTGAGATTAATTTCACGTATTGTTTGTTTTTCTTTTGATATATATAAAATTACAGTAGTTGAAAGATAGCATAATACTTTTGGCTCAATGGTGTAGGCTTAGCTTTGAAACATATTGCTAGAAAATAAAAGTCGACACAATCTAAAGTTGTGTGCTTCTAGAACAATATGTATTTATGTTGCTCTCAAGTCAAAGTATTAACTACTACATAAATGGTTGATTGATTATTCAAACGTTTACTCAGTCTAAAACTGTCACATTTTATTATACACACCCAAATAAAGGTGCAAAATTTCTTGTTTAATTAAAGAATTTCAAAAGCATATGATCTCATGACCTCCAACTCCAAACGTAGCCAAATATTTTCTTAGTCATGGATATTGACGAAGTTTTAATCTGGCACTACTCATAAATAAACAAGGCATAATATAAAGGGCATATTAATTTTTTTAAAAATTCAAAACGGTAAAATCGCTCACGATGTAGCGACTTGTACCTTTTGAAAAAGCGAAATCGCTGCAATAGCAGCGATTTCTTAAATTTGCCTTTTCTTTTTTTAAAAAAAAATTAAACAAATCGCTCCACACGGAGCAATTTTCAAAATAATAAAGAAAAAATTCTAC